CTGAGCAATGATTCCGGCAGCACCGGGAAGATCCCTGGCTGGGCCGCAGCTGCCTCCGGATCTGATGGACACAGACAGGGAAGACATCAGCAGACATATTGGGTGACGCGCCTCTATCCCCTGCTCGTGGCCCCGCCCCCCAACGTTCACCCACCTGGCTTGCTCTCCGTCACCCCTTTGATCACAAGGAGATTTGGGGGTCGCTGAAGGGCGCAGTCACAATAGCGGAGCTCCAGGAGGCGCTGACGGCCGTACATCCGCCGGTCTAATGTCACAGAGACAAAACACAGGTGTGAGTCTTCCAGCCAACAGGGGAGGGAGGGGCGGGGTGAAGGGGAGTGGCCTCACCTTTGACCTTTGGCGGCCTGGTCGAGTTGTACTGACAGCGGTCATTGACCCCCAGGAGGTCCGGCCACAGCGGGAAAGGTAAAGTCCGGGGGTGAGGCGCGCCGCAGTACTGCTCCTGACCGGACACCTAGGAGAGAACACACAGCGGTCACATGGTGCAAAGACCCGGGCCACTCCCCTTCCACTGTCCCCGCCCCCCACCTTCCACGCAGGTAGCTGGTGGCAGTTCAGGACGCCGTTGTGCAGCAGCTGGTAGAGCGGAGAGTTCGGCGTGGCGTTCAGATCGCCGCACAGGATGATTGGGCAATGCCGACCCTCCGCCGTGCCAGACACCCGATCCACCTCTGCCAGGAGGAGCGCCAACTGCGCCAGCTTGATGTCCCCCCGCCGGGGGTTGTACAGGAGGTGCGTGTTGGCGACACACAGACTGGGGGGGCGGGGCCCATCGGCTCCCTCCTCGGGGGGGAGCACCGGCCGCAGCAACAGGACCAGACCCACGTTGTCCCGGTTCAGGACATCGATGGCGGGCCGGAAGAACTCCACGTGACTCTCCCGGAGCAGAGAGAAGCGCCGAGTGCGGAAGAAAGTGGCGCAGCCGTCCGTCTTCCTCCCCGTCCGCCGCTTGTAGTGACAGCTGTACCCTGCAGGGGGAGACACAGAGCAGTCAGCACGCAGCGCCCCCTCCTGGCGGCCGCACAGAGGAGCAACCAAGAGCATTACCCAGAGTGCTCAGCGCCGGCCGGATCTCTTCTCTGTAATGATTCTCCTGGACCTCCTGAAGGCACAGAACCTGCGAGAGACCGAACACACGACAGAGCTCTGACATATACTGCGGCGCAGTGCAGAAATGCAGGGGGAGACACAGAGCAGTCAGCACGCAGCGCCCCCTCCTGGCGGCCGCACAGAGGAGCAACCAAGAGCATTACCCAGAGTGCTCAGCGCCGGCCGGATCTCTTCTCTGTAATGATTCTCCTGGACCTCCTGAAGGCACAGAACCTGCGAGAGACCGAACACACGACAGAGCTCTGACATATACTGCGGCGCAGTACAGAGAACAA